TTGGTTTTTGCTTCGCTCCGTCGGCGTTTACTGGTGTTTTTATTAGGGATGGGGAGAAGAAGTTCGCGGAACAGACTTCGTGGGGCTTCACTACTCGCTCGATTGGAGTAATGATTATGGAACATGGCGACGACAAGGGCTTGGTGTTACCCCCTAGGTGAGGGTTGCTGCCTTTCCCGAACTGAAAATTTAATTTTCGAATTTTTCAGAGTAGCAGAAGTTCAAGTCGTGATAGTGCCTATTCCACCAAAGGGAGCGGGGGCGCAGTGGAGTACGGCTGAGTTGAAGGACATGATTGGAGAGAAATGCAAAGTGAGGAAAGGAGGAGGAATTGAATGTTGGGAGAATTTGTGGTATTCAGAGTATTTATGAAGATCTCGAGGCGAATGGTGTGCGTGTGGTTTTGGACGATCGCGAGGATAAAACGCCGGGGTATAAATTCAATCATTGGGTGAGGCTTGGTTTCGTGGGGAGTAGCGACTTCTGGCTCAACTAGGAATATGTGTTTCGCTTCGGTCAACTAAGCTCAGGAGTTTCCTCACTAGTTATAGAAGTTTATATACGAATTCGGGTAGAAGTATACAGAAAGCAACAAGAATTTCTCAAAATTTCGTAACAATTTTCATATAGTCGCCGAGTCGGCGACTATATGTGTCGGCGACGCCGACACATGTAGTTGAAAATGTGCATATTTTCCCACGCTGTATAGAAACGAAAAACGTTTTTGGTTTTCCCTCTGTTTGTTATTGCTGTTACTACTGTATAGTTGATTCTGTTATGATAGGAAATGGTTGTTGTTGTTATTTAGGAGCTCAAGGGCGTACCACTTCGTATTGAAGTTGGCGCTAAGGATCTCGAAAAGGGTGTGGTGACGTTTGTACGTAGAAATACTGGGAGGAAATCACAGGAAGCGAAGCACGCTTCGGTGGAGGTAGGCGGTGAATTTCGGTTGATGACTGTTTAAGTTGCTTAGCATTGGAAGTGGGCTTTAACGTATTAGAGTTATCGATTAGCACGGATGAATATGTGTACTGGATTTTCACCCGTGATATGAAAAACACTAGTGAAAAACGACTCGTGAAAGCATAGAAAAATAACGAATAATATTGGAGTAATAGAATTTACTATACGAACTAGAATAATAGCACTTAAAATAACTGTAATATTAGAATATAAAATACGTATATTATTTTTCTCACGGGTGAAACTCCAATAATAACGTATATATTATTCTAGTTGCTTGATTTTAAACTGACTTTAGTGGACTAGTAGCAATAGTAGTAGTAGTAGTAGTAGTAGTAGTAGTAGTAGTAGTAGTAGTAGTAGTAGCAATAGTAGTAGCAGTAGTAGTAGTAGTAGTAGTAGTAGTAGTAGTAGCAGTAGTAGTAGTAGTAGTAGTAGTAGTAGTAGTAGCAATAGTAGTAGCAGTAGTAGTAGTAGTAGTAGTAATAGTAGTAGCAGTAGTAGTAGTAGTAGTAGTAGCAGTAGTAGTAGTAGTAGTAGTAGTAGTAGTAGTAGTAGTAGTAGTAGTAGTAGTAGTAGTAGTAGTAGTAGTAGCAGTAGTAGTAGTAGTAGTAGCAGTAGCAGTAGCAGTAGTAGTAGTTTGGTTTGGTTTGGTCTGGGAGCACGGCATCTCCTGTATACACAGTATGGCCGTATTGCTCCTGCGTCCTGCAAGGACGCTCAGTGCCACAACGGCACCGCAAGTCCGTTACCGATGCTTGGCGGCTTCGGAGGTAGTGCTCCAAGCCGGTGCACTCGCCCTCAAGAATTTCCTCAGTGAGTGGAGACCACTCTCTCGTGCTGTCGTCAAGGCCCCACGGATCAGGGTGAGCCCGCGTTGCGGTCTCTCTCCTGCTAGTGCTGACAGGAGTGGATCCACGCCCCAGATTTTCTTTCTGAGTGTACACATCTTCCTCGAAGGACACCAGAAGAAGTGTGGTAGGTCTTCTTTATGAGACCGACAGTAGCGACATTTCCAATCCGTGATATCGGCTGAAAGGTGTCGAAGATAGCCCTTCGTGCTGCTGTGGAAGGTGAGGAGTTCGAACAAACGCCGCCGATCCCCGATCTTCCATCCGATACATCTTTTTACTATAGAAGAGAGTTGTTTTCGGCCAAAACCGAGACCGAGCCTGTTCACAGCTAACTGCCCTCTCTGACACCTCCACTTCTCCTCCATGTGCACATGAGAGAAGTGTATCAGCTGTGCTTTTGTGAAAGATGCTGGTCTTTCGACTTCATAATAGATAGTATCGGGTCCGTTCCGGGCCCCACGTCCTGCGTGCAGGTCACTTAGTTCATTTAGCCAATGGCCAGCATGACCACGGACCCACCACAAACAGATTCGATATCCCTCCGTATCCTGACCTACCCAACGATGAATCAGGCTCGCCACGTCCTGGGTCAGTTTGGTAGAAACGAGGCCATTATGACGAAGAGCATTGGCCAC